AAGACAAAATCTACACACCTGGCAGGAGTGGTGATAATGAAAATTTAAGTTTACTGTATGAGCACGTTCAGGTATACTTTGTTTTACTGCACTTCTCTTTATTGTGCTTCATAGACATCACATATTCTACAAATTGAAGGACTAGGGCAACCCTACATTGAGCTACCTCACAGAGCCATTTCTCCAAAGCATGTGCTTATTTCATATCTCTGTTACTTTTTGAAAATTTTAGCCAGGCATAGTGGCTCATGCATGTAATCCCAGCACTTTCAGAGGGTGAGGAGGGCAGATCACCTGAAGTCAGAAGTTCAAGACCAGCCTGACCAACATGGAGAAACCCTGTCTCTACTAAAAATAAAACATGGTGGCATATGCCTATAATCCCAGCTACTCGTGAGGCTGAGGCAGGAGAATTGCTTGAACCTGGGAGGTGGATATTGCAATGAGCTGAGATCACACCATTGCACTCCAGCCTGGGCAACAAGAACGAAATTCCATCTCAAAAAAAAAAAAAAGATTGTAATATTTCAAACTTTATTATTATTATTGTTATTATTGTATCTGTTAGAATACCCTGTGATCAGGAAACTTTGGTGTGACTGTTGTAATTGTTTGGTGGGCCTCCAAAAACCACATCTATGATGGCAACCTTAACTGATAAATGTGTGTGTTCTGACTGCTCTACCAGTGGCCCTTCCCCCACCTCTCTCCCCCTTCTCAGGCCTCCCTATTCCCTGAGACACAACAATATTGAAATTAAGTCAATTAATTACCTACAATGGCCTCTATGTTTTCAAGTCAAAGAAACAGTCATACATCTCTCACTTTAAATCAGAATCTAGAAATGACTAAGCTTATGAGGAAGGCACGTCAAAAGCTGAGACAGGCTGAAAGCTAGGCCACTTGAGCCAAACAGTCAAGTTATAAATGCGGAGGAAAAGTTCTTGAAGGAAATTAAAAGTGCTACTCCAGTGAACACACAAATGATAGGGAAACTGAAACAATCTTATTGCTGATATGGAGAAAGTTTGAGTGGTCTGGATAGGAGATCACACCAGTCACAACACTCTCTTAAGCCGAAGCCCAAACCAGACCAACACCCTAACTCTATTCAATTCTAGGAAGTCTAAGAGAAATGAGGAAGCAGCAGAAGAAAGGTTGGATGCTAGCAGAATTATGAGGTCTAAGGAAAGAAGCCACAGCTATAACATGAAAATGCAAGGTGAAGCAGCAAGTGCTAATGGAGAAGCTGCAGAAAGTTATCCAGAAGATCTAGCTAAGATATTAATAATTAAGAAAACTGGCTACACTAAACAACAGATTTTCAATGTAGATGAAATATTTCTACTGGAAGAAGATACTGTCTAGAATTTTCATAGCAAGAGTAGAAGTTGACACCTGGCTTCAAAGATTCAAAGGACAGGCTGACTATCTTGTTAGCGTCTAATGCAGCAGGTGACTTTAGGATGAAGTCAATGCTCATTTACCATTTGGAAAATCCTAGGGCCCTTAGGAATTGTGCTAAATCTACTCTGCCTATGCTTTATCAATGGAATAACAAAGTCTGGATGGTGCACTGTCATCTGTTCACTGCACAGTCTACTGAATATTTTAAGTCCACTGCTGAGAACTACTGCTCATTTGAGAAATTCCTTTCAAGGAGAAATTTTGACTTTGAAATATTATTTCTGAAACACACTTCATAAGGCTATTGCTGTCATTGTGATTCCTCCAGTATATCTGAGCAAAGTACATTGAAAACCTTCTGGAAATGACTGATATTCTAAATGCCATTAAGAACATGTGTGATTCATGAGATAAGGGCAAACTATCAACATGAACAGAAATTTAGAAGTCAATTCCAACCCTATGGATGACTCTGAAGTGTTCAAGACAACAGAAGAATAAGTAACTGCAGATGTGATGGAAATGGCAAGATAACTAGATTTAGAAGTTGGGCCTGAAGATGTGGCTGAATTGCTGTAATCTCATGATGAAATTTGCATAGATGAGGAGTTGCTTCTTATGGATGAACAAAGAAAGGAGTTTCCTTAGATGGAATCTACTCCTGGTGAAGATGCTGTGAATATTGTTGAAATGACAACTAAGAATTTCAAATATGACATAAATGTATCTGATAAAGCAATAGCAGGGTTTGAGAAGACTGACTCCAATTCTTAAAGAAGTTCTACTATCGAATGCTATCGAAAAGCAAAGTATGCTACACAGCAACTTTTTGTGAAAGGAAGAGTCAATTGATGCATCAAACTTCATTGTTGTCTTATTTAAGAAATTACCAAAGCCACCCCAACCTTCAGTGACCACTGAGCAGTTAGCAGCCATTAACATCAAGATAAGACACTTCACCAGAAAAAAATTCTAACTCACTGAAGGCTCACATAATCGTTAACACGTTCTAGCAATAAAGTATTCTTTAAGGTATGTGCATTTTTAGACTAATATAATGCTACTGCATTATAGACAACAGTATAGTGTAAATATAACTTTTACATGCACTGTGAAACCAAGAATGGTACGCTCTTTTACTGAAATATTCACTTTCTTGGAGTGGTCTGGAATGAAACCCAGAGCATCCCCAGGTGTGTAGAGGCTAAGTGTTTTGCATATGTTACTTCATTTAATTTAATCCTCACAACAATCCAATGAGGTAAGCATTATTACAATCAACTCATGAAGAAGAGCAGTTTTAAAGAGCTTTTTACTGCCATGGAGGTAGAGCTAGATCATCACCTTTTTAGTCACAGTATCTCCAGTGTGCGGCATGGGGCCTGACATGTAACAAATGCTCCATAGCTATCAGTTGAATAAAGGAGTTAAGTAACTTGCTCAGCCAGAAAAAGTCAGAGCCAGGAATCTACTTCAGGTCCGTTAGACAACAAAGCTCATGCTCTTTCTACTGCCTAAAACTGCCTTTCTTAACGTTATCCAAACTGGGTTAGGTTCTGCATTCTTTCTGATTCTGTATCAAGTGCTTGCCTTTTCCATTCACTCTAGGCTTATTCCATCCTCCCATAAAGCAAATTCTCTCCACTGATCACTGTTGTAGCCGGCCTTGAAGATGGATGTCTCAACCTCTGGGATGTCTCAACTCCTGGTATCCAGACCACCATGTAGTCCTTTCCTGCACTGTGCCAAGGTTGGCCTATGTGACTAATAGTATTCAGTAGAAGTGATGCTATGGAACCTTATTTCCAAGATTAGGTTGTAAAAGTTTGCAGCTTACCCTTTTTCTCTCTTTTTTTCTCTCTCTCACTCACTCTTGCTCTCACTTTCTCATCACCCGCTCTGGGATAAGCAGGCTGTCATGTCCTGAGCAACCCGAGACAGCCCATGTGCTGAAGAACTGAAGCTTCCTGCCATGTGAGAGACCATGGACACAGAACCTCCAGCCCTAATCAAGTCTTCAGAGACTTCAGACTTCAATCAAGTTTTTGCTAGCTGACCACTTGACTGCAACCTCATGAAAGTCCCTGAACCAGAACCCCAAAAATCCTCAACTAAGTTGCTTCTAAAGTCCTGACCTTTACAAATTGTATAAAATAATAATGCATGGTTGTTATTTTAAGCTGTTAAAATTTGGAATAAATTTGTTACAAGAAATAGATAACTAATATGACCATAAATACAACAGATAAGGCAGGCTACATGAAAGTCATTCTGAAAAATAACTCAAAAGTCATACTCTAATAAAAGTGACTGACAGAACCTTCATAATAGTCAAAGATTAGGTTATAAAAGATTCTGTTTTATGGCTGGGTGAGACATAGACACTGGGAAGCAGGATCGGTCTTCAATAGAAGTAGAAAAGGAAACTTCCTCTATGATTTCTGGAATGAGAGGCACAGAAAGTCCCACCTAATTAAAAATTTCCCCTACACCTAACCTGATAGGCTCTGATTCTGAAATTCTACTACAGTGTACTATTATAATAATTTCAAGAGATCTAAATGTCACCTTTCTCACATTTTTAGCACATTAGCTAGCAGCCAAAATAAGGCAAGAGGAGACAAAAGGAAAAAGAGACAAGAACAGATGTTGCCTAGGCATGACCTGTATATGAAGAAGAAGCAGGTGCAATGCTTTATAATGAATTAAGGACAGTTTGGGAACATAAAAAATCAAGGAACATATAATATAAATAACTTAAAATATATACTCTAAAATTAACCTGGTTTAAAAATGTTCAGCAGTTTCAAAAACATCTAATACCAAGTTCAGAAACATGAAAGGTTTTCTTTCTAAACAGTATCTCAATTCTAAGGTATTAGAACAGAGGGGTTAAAAGAGTGGACAATGAAGACATATACCCTGGGTTGAAGTTCAATCCAGCCACTCACTCGCTGTGTGGTCTCAAGCAAGTTACTTAGACTCTCTTGTGGGTCAGTATCCTTATCAGACCATGGAAGATGAGATTTATATGATAATATCTTTATCATACAATCATAGTAAATAGTTAATAAATAGATTAATAAATGAATAGCTACTTATTGGCATGCAGAAAGCATTCAGTAAGTATTAGCTACCATCATTATCATTTTAATGATTAATATAGATTTCAACTTTACCACTATATATAACTTAAGGATATTTCTACAAATACATATTTGCCCTGTCAATAAACTGCAAACTTAATGAAAATAATATTGATAAGTAATAAAATTCCCTGACATATGGCCAAAGTAGGGAAGGTATTTAAAATCTCACAGGACCAACTGGTTGCATTTTTACTTTAGTTTAAAATTTTACTCTAATAAAACACAAAGATGTACTTTACTAGAAGGTAACCTATTAGAAGATTGATCTGCAAGTTATTTAGATGTTATTTTTTAGATTATTATTGAAGAAAATCACTAGCAGTTGTACTTTACGATTTTGTGACAGATTCTTAAAAATATGGTAAAAATATCATTTGTATAAATCTGGTAGAAAAAAAACCAGGAATAGGAAAGATAGAGAACTGGAAGATACCATAATTTCACCTGTAAGTAATAAATCTTTTTGGTATTTCTTTTTGTTGGTTGCTTAGTTGGTACTGCTGAATTCCATATCAACATTATTTATTATTCCTGTGGATCTTGGTAGCTTGGTAGCTCCTGTGGAGCTTGGTGACAATGGAGAATGTCTTATCTGTGCTTGAAAAACAACGTTGCTTCTCTCTTTAGAGAGCCACATGTGATTTTCCAGTTTTCCATATTTAAATTTCACGTCACCAGAGAAGACCCCAGGATACATTGCCTATGATTGCCATCCTGAGGCAAGGCAGAGAAAGGAGGTTCGATAATCTGTGATGAAATAACTGCTGGTAATGAGAATTCTAAACTGACATCAGAACTGGGGCAGAGCTGTGAGAGTATCTCAGCTCAATACCCAGAGCCTTCTCACCTCATTTACACCATCCTCACATCCTGATACACCTCATGAAGTGCAAGAAGACCCAAATGTTTTTATCTTTTCATGTAAATTGATCATGTATAGCAAACAGTCCCAGAAAAGACATGCCTGAAAATATGTGCTTAAGAATATGAGCCGTAGCACTCCATCTCTGAAATATTCAAATAATTAATAGTTTCAACTGTAAGTGGTATAAATTATTCATTTTCTATCAAAAGATAGAAATTTTTAAGAGTCTACAAAATACTAACTAGGTCAGAAATATTTTTAAGCTACATATACATTGTTTTCCTTTAGTGCAACAAAATCAGCATTTAATAAGAATCACTCACTTCTTATGGGGCTTAAGAACATTTTAGTTCATTTTAAGCCACAACTTTCACATTTAGAATTTTCTAGTCATAGCTGTAAACTTTTCAGAAGTCTGAACAGTTAAATGATTATTCTGAAAAGTGTGCATATGGGAAGAACTGTTTGCTTACTAGATCCCTCTTTGATAATTCAGATACTTAAGTTATTATTTCCAACGCAAATTTTCTAAAATCAAATAAATTGCAAAACTAGAAATATAATCATGTCTCCAAGAAGGAGTTCCAATCTTCTGCCAAAACAGACCTCAACTTCATAATCCCTTGTCCAAAAAAGTTGGACCAAGTATTGATGTTTTCCACCAAGCAAGCCACATAGTCACAAATGTTTCTCATTTACTCCACTCCTGGGATACACAGCTCAAATAAATAATTTCCTGAATACCCCAAATTTCAGATGCAATTTGGAATGCAAGTGATTCATGTTATGCAGGAAACATTGTGATCTTCTTACCAACTCAGTGTTTCTGGAATGCAACCTTCAGGAGATCATTCCAACCAATTAGAAGGCTGACATCCCTTTCAGCCATGTGACCCAACGATTATGCTCTCTGCCCTTAGCTTAGATGTGATTTGGAACCCTCAGCAATCCTGTACTCCAACTACTGTTCAAAACAAGAAAGAGTTACCTCAAGGGAACCAGCAAAGACCCTACTGTGATCTATAACAAAAAACATGGTGGCAGTGCACTGCATCCCCATCAAAAAAGTGCAAAACAGTGTTAAAAGAAATTAAAGGCCAGGCACAGTGAATTATGCCTGTAATTCCAGAACTTTAGGAGGCTGAGGCAGATGGATCACAAGCCAGGAGTTCTAGACCAGCCTGACCAACATGGTAAAACCCCATCTCTACTAAAAATACAAAAATTAGCCAGGCATGGTGGCACACGCCTATAATCCCAGCTACTCAGGAGGCTGAGACAGGAGAATCACTTGAACCCAGGAAGCAAAGGTTTCAGAGAGCCAAGATCATGCCACTGCACTCCAGCTTGGGCAACTCCATCTCAAAAAATAATAATAATAAAGAAAGAAATTGAAGCCACGGTCACTGCTCTGCACCAAAAGCCTCTCAGAGTAGCCTCCGAACATACTTAGATTCTAATTCAAGAGTAAAATTTCAGTGAGCCTTCCAGTTACATGAGTCCTTTTCTAATCCCACCTCACTCCCCTTGTTAAGTCACTAACAATTTATTGGAGTACCTGTCAACTTTGGTGATTTATATTTTCTTTCAAGGAAAAAACACAGTCGATATAGAGGAAGAAAAGTACTGCACTGAATGTACTAAATGAACATAAAAACTGTAAGTCTTTGACAATGTGATTACTGAAAATGGTGAAAGATCAAGGTATAAACACTTACTGAATTGTTTTCCATTAACTAAAGGGATCATCACAAGAAAAATATTCAATTAAGGGGAACTCCTAAGCAAGGATTACCTAGGGGAATATAAGATGAAACTCATAACACTTTGAAAGTTTAGGCAAAGAAAGAGACCTACTGATTCTACAGAAATAACAGAAAATAGGAAGACTTTTCTCAAATGGAAGGAATATGGGGAAGGCTAAAATCATGGAAAAGAAAAAAAAATCTAACATAAAGAATATTCTCCACAATCACAATAATGGAGAACCTACCAAAACAATGAATTGACTTAAGGTAAATTCATGGCTCTATAGGCAATTTTGATAATAGTAACATTTACAAAGAAACAAACTGAGTCTGTAAATTAAAATTTGACATAAATGATGTTCCCATGAGATGAGTTTGCCTCAGAAAGCCATGAAAAAATATATAAATGCATAGAAAAAAATAAAATCTACATGTTAATTAAAAAAAATAAGATCAGTTTAAACTTGTGGTTGGATCAATGCCCATCATGAATAATCGGAAATGTGGCTTGAATATATCTGGCTGTTAGAGATCCTATTTTCCATCTCACCTCAGTTGTTTGATAAGAGTCATCTCTCATGTATCCATACAAGAAGGGATACTAATCACATTGATTATCTAATACTTATTTGTACTGAAAAAAACTGGTTAGATGACATTAGGAAATTAAATAGTCTAGATGACTGTTTTCTAGTTACTTGAAAACTTGAATCTATGAATTTTCCTTCTTGCTGTTGATTTTATACTGAGAATTGAATGAAATCAGTGTAATTTCAACAAATTGTCAAACTATCAGAATTTCTATGAATAAATGACCACAGGTATATGAAGCTTCTTGAATAGTGCACATGGTAGATTCTCAAATACTGTTCATTTCTTATTCTTTTCCCTTCCCCCCCTACTTTTGCCAACCAGAGCTTTACTTCTTTTTCTGCAGTTTAGGATCCAGGAAGATGAGCTTTTACACATAATCAGTCAATTCTCTGCCAGAATTTAACATTTCCTTCCTCTTTTGGTCATCAGATCAATGTGTTCTAACTGTAGGGTTCCTCTAAAAACTGCATCATTTTCTCTTCTTGCCTTAATTTCCATTGAGGGATCACCTAACTTCAGTGCATACTTTGTATCAGAACCTAATGTTTTGTCCAGCAGTATGCTAGCATACTGGGAAATGGAATTCAGTAAAACATGATTCCCACCAGTGATAGTTAATTTTATATGCTAACTCGACTAAGCTACAGGATGCCAGAGTTGGTCAAACATTATTCTGGGTGTTTCTGTAAGGGTGTTTTTGGAAAAGATTAACATTTAAATCAGGAGACTTGAATAAAATATACCGCCCTCTATAATGCAGGTGGGCCTCAACCAATCATACTTAGCCCCGAATGAAACAAAAGGCTGACCTACCCCAGAGTAAGAGAGAATTCTCCAAACAGCCTGCAACCTGGAATACTGGCTCTTCCTGCCCTATGGGTTTCCAAGTGGGATATTAGCTCTTCCTGGTTCTAAAGCAGCTTCTGGCCATTGGACTTACACTGGTACATTAGCAATGCAGATTTTAAATTTACCAGCTCCCATAATCATGTGGGCTAATCCCCTATTTTATATATACACACACACACACACACACACACACACACACAAACACACACACACATATATACACATATGTACATACACACACATATATATACACATAGACACACATATACACACATACATATATACACACATACAACCATATATATATATGTATATATCTTTTTTATATTAAAAAAAGGAATATAAGGATATATATCCTCCTTTTTTGGAGTCATAGTCTTGCTCTGTTGCCCAGGCTGTAGTGCAATGGCATCATCACGGCTCACTGCAGCCCTGACTTCCTGGGCTCAAGTGATCCTCCCACCTCAGCCTCTCGAAGTGTTGAGATCACAGATGTGAGCTACTGCACCTCAGTTTCTCTGTGAAACCCTGACTAACAAACCACCTCCAACAAGCTCAAAGCCTAGTCAAGGGGAATATCCCCAAGTAAACCTTTTCCATAAAGCCTCTCCCAAAGAGTAACACAAGGTACAGTATTATTAACCAAAAAACTGTCGAACAAATAATACTATGAAACATTCACTGAATGAAATAAAAGCACCTGAAAGCAAGATCTGTCAGTGACAATATCAGACTATGTAATTCATTCCCTCAGGAATTCTCATAAAGTGAGTGCCCTGATGTTAGTTTATAGCTAGGCTTGCCCTTTCCTACATATGCTGACTAGATGAAATTTCTCTGCTTTTATGACTTAGTTACTGTTATTTGAAGCAGGTCATTTGGAAAGAAATCCAAAACAGGGAGTACAGTTATATATTAATTCATTCCCCCCTCACAGCGCATAGTACAAATAAGAAGCAAATAAGCTCACTTGAATGGCAGCCAAGTTCTTCTGCTCCTGAGATGGTGCCTCATGAACGAAGCGAAGCCAATTGGAGTGCCGTGGGTTGGTAGCATCCAAAATGTACAAAACTTCTCCCTTACTCCCACGAACCTGAAACATTAAAGGATCCTGAGTTTACAATGGAAGTCAGAATATTAGCTTTTAAACACATCAAGGTTAGAACATGATGTTTTTTCACAAATATATACCTTTTTATTGATAGGTGATAAATAAAAGATCAACATGCCTTCTTCTCTTAACCACATGTATAAGTAGAGCCTACTATTTCATTTGGCAGATGTCTAGATGACTCACAATTGCAATGAACTCTCAGAAGCATCATGTGTTGATAGCTGTTTTCTGGTCAAAATTATTTTGCTTCGTAGGTATATTCCAGTATATGTATTGCAATTGCAATTGTTCATAGAATAATCATTATTGCAACCTTCGCCTTTTCTCCAAAGAGAAGAGTCATACTGCTTATTTCCCAATTGAGAGCGGTGGAATTGGAGCAAGCACTTCTATTTCTCACTGGATCTGCTTACTGAATCATCTCCATAAAAGGAGAACTTGCTCATCTAGCCAGTGAGAATCTGACATCAAATGAGACAAAATGTCATGTTCTTTACCATTGAATGAATGAAACAGTTTCATTTTATCCTTTCATGTCCCACTCACAGATTGCTGAGAAAGACAGTGGGCTCTCTGGTTTTTGTCTCAGACCAAATGATCTTGCTGCTCAGACCTACTCTACATTCAACTAGAGAGAAGAGGGGAGTAACTCCCAAAGCAGGTAGCTCATTGGATATTCCTGAATCCAAGTTGTTTGAAATCTAGCTTCTCCAAAATCCCTGCATTATC